TCCAGTCTTCAGTGTCACATGATCTTCAGAAATCATTCTAATAAGCTGATTTGCTGCTCAAGAAACATTTCTGATTATTATCAATGTTAAAAAGAGTTGTGCTGCTTCATGTTTTTGTGTAAACCATGATAAATATTTTTTCCAGGATTTTTTGATGAATAGAAATCTTTGTGCCCCCAAACTATTAGTTAATATTCCATAATTTCTAAAAGGTACTGTACAACTCTCTATGATAATATAACATATGTGTTAAAAACTGAACTAAAATCATTTTAGTGGTGGAGTGGTGGCACAGTTGTGCTGTGCTTCTATATTAGAAATGGCTTTTCTAGCTTGGTTGTGTGATAAAGTGTGTGTGTGTGTGTGTGTGTAATTATAAACTAAACTGTACATGTTGATCCAGTGAAATCTATCGATGGGTTTTGATCAAATGGATTCACTACAAAAAATATTAGTGGCTGCTTCTTGTTTCAAACGTTTGCTGGCAGGTGCAAAACGCGAGTCTCTGCCTCCACTAGACGGGTATGCAAATGTCACAGCCACTTTCAAAAAATGACACAACAATGTTTGGATCTGTGGCTCTCATGTGGAATATTAACACATGCGGTGTGAGCCGCTGCTGTCTCTCTGCTGCCGCTCTCTTGTCTTTGATCTGTCTCTCTCTCACGGACCGTGCATCAGCTGAAACGGCGCGGTTTGCAGTGGATGTGTAAAATTGTGTGCATCCGTTGTGTTGTGTGTTTGTGCATGTGTGTGTGTGTGCGCGTCTCCGTGCACATATAAGCTGTCTTGATCATCTGTTGCCATGCAGGCCGAGTGTATTCGCTCGCATCTCTCACCCACTCATCAAAATCCCACAATTTATTGCCGGTTCTGTATGAAAGGAATAGATCACCCAAAAAATTTAAATTCTGTCATTATTTAGACTACTCACCCTTATATCGTTCCAAACCACAATGCTGTTATTTTTTATTATTTTTGAAGAATCTGAAAGATTCTATTTGATCAAAAATAACAATAAAAACAGTAATAAAGTGAAATATTATTGCAATTGAAAATAACTGTTTTCTATGTAAATATCTGTTAAAATGTCATTTATTTCTGTGATCAAAGCTGTATTTTCAGCATCATTCCTCCAGTCTTCAGTGTCACATGATCCTTCAGAAATCATTCTAATATGCTGCTGCTCAAGAAACATTTCTGATTATTATCCATGTTGAAAACAGTTGTGCTTCTTCATAATTTTGTGGAAACCATGATAAAGATTTTTTGATGAATGGAAAGTCCAAAAGAACTGTATTTATTTGAAATTTAAATCTTTTGTAACATTATACATTTCTTTACTGTCTTTTGATCAATGTAATGTGTCCTTACTGGTTAATTTCTTTAAAAGGGTCATATGATGCTGCTAAAAAGAACATTATTTTGTGTATTTGGTGTAATGAAATGTGTTTATGAGGTTTAAGGTTAAAAAAACACATTATTTTCCACATACTGTATATTATTGTTTCTCCTCTATGCCCCGCCTTTCTGAAACGCGTCGATTTTTACGTGGTTTTTTTTCATACTGTGAAATATCTCTTTGGGTTTGAGACTTTAGTCTTTGCAACTTTAGGGATCTTATCTATGCACGAACAGCTTGTAACACTGCAAAGAGAAATGAAAATGTGAAATTGCATCATATGACCCCTTTAAAAAATTATCTTACTACCACCAAACTTTTGAACTGTAGTCGATATTCTCATTATTTCCCAGTCTTCTGAAGTTATATGATGCTTGGTGTGAGGAACACACCATATTTCATTCATTTATTAACTGAAAACATTTTCCCCATCAAAGCTCTGAAATCTCATTTCTGTTTGCGTCATTGAGAAGTGCAGCACAGATGTGCTGTGCATCTTTTAAAGACTTTTATGGTGTGTTTCGACCCTTTTTATCAGCATCAAAAATAGACTGTAACCCAGAGCTCTCAAGGCCAGAAAAGCCCCATGAAAGTATCATAAAAGCAGTTGAGTCATTATATTACTATATTCTTGCTGCATCTTGTGACATCCAAGAAAAGGCTTTTGGCATCATTGACACCAAACCTGTTGCTATAATAAAAAATTATCAATGTTAAATATTTAAATTAAGCATTCCAACAGCACAGACAGTAGATCATTGCACCAGCATGGATTTGATTATTAGGAAATGCAGGCATTTTTATATCAAATGTGCACCTTGATTCCAATCAAGGTATGATTTTATTCACTTTAAATAAAAGCATCTGTCAAATGCATAAATGTAAATGTTAAATTTTGGTTGGCTCATCATGCAAAGCCTACAGTCTGACTTTTTTATTGGTGGTTTTTGGCTCTTTTTGTCTACGTACAACAAAAGTAGACTGAAACCAGTGTCAAGTGTCAGTGACGTCAATCCTGCCACGATAGGAAAAATGATCAATTCATATGAAGCATTCTTGTAGCTCAAACAATAAAAAAAATATTGTTTGTTATGCAATGGGTTCCATTCCCAGGCAATGCATGTATTTTTATATAAAATATGTACCTTGATTGCAGTATTAGTCACTTTGGATTAAAGTGTCTGCCAAATCCATAAATAAATATAAATGTTGAAGTTCTGTCTGCTTCTCATGCAAAGCTATCAGAAGACTTCATGAGGCCACAATATATTCCATTTGAGATATTTTTATGGTGTTTCTGGCCCTTTTTGCCTACAACAAAAACTGTAACCAGAAACCAGAAGCTATCAAGAAGTTTCTTTTGTCATCACTGACATCAAACCTGCCATGATAGAAAAAATTATCAATTAAAATGAAGCATTCCTGTAGCTCATATACAATAGAGTGTGATGTATGCAATGCAATTCAATTCCTAGGCAATGCATGCAATGCAATTTCATTCTGCTCCTGATGCAACGCTGTCGTGTGACTTCAGGAGACCACAGTATATGTGGTCCTGGACCACAAAAACAGTCATAAGGGTCAATTTTTATTTAATAAGTAAGCTTTCCATTGATGTATGGTTTGTTAGGATAGTATAATATTTGGCTAAGATACAACTATTTGAAATCTGGAATCTGAGGGTGCAAACAAAATCAAAATATTGAGAAAATCGCCTTTAAAGTTGTCCAAATGAAGTTCTTAGCAATCAAAAATTAAGTTTTGATATATTTACGGTAGGAAATTTACAAAATATCTTCATGGAACATGATCTTTACTTACATCCTAATAATTTTTGGCATAAAAGAAAAATTGATAATTTTGACCCATACAATGTATTGTTGGCTGTTGCTACAAATATACCCCATGCATGTATTTTTATATAAAATATGTACCTTGATTGCAGTATTAGTCACTTTGGATTAAAGTGTCTGCCAAATCCATAAATAAATATAAATGTTGAAGTTCTGTCTGCTTCTCATGCAAAGCTATCAGAAGACTTCATGAGGCCACAATATATTCCATTTGAGATATTTTTATGGTGTTTCTGGCCCTTTTTGCCTACAACAAAAACTGTAACCAGAAACCAGAAGCTATCAAGAAGTTTCTTTTGTCATCACTGACATCAAACCTGCCATGATAGAAAAAATTATCAATTAAAATGAAGCATTCCTGTAGCTCATATACAATAGAGTGTGATGTATGCAATGCAATTCAATTCCTAGGCAATGCATGCAATGCAATTTCATTCTGCTCCTGATGCAACGCTGTCGTGTGACTTCAGGAGACCACAGTATATGTGGTCCTGGACCACAAAAACAGTCATAAGGGTCAATTTTTATTTAATAAGTAAGCTTTCCATTGATGTATGGTTTGTTAGGATAGTATAATATTTGGCTAAGATACAACTATTTGAAATCTGGAATCTGAGGGTGCAAACAAAATCAAAATATTGAGAAAATCGCCTTTAAAGTTGTCCAAATGAAGTTCTTAGCAATCAAAAATTAAGTTTTGATATATTTACGGTAGGAAATTTACAAAATATCTTCATGGAACATGATCTTTACTTACATCCTAATAATTTTTGGCATAAAAGAAAAATTGATAATTTTGACCCATACAATGTATTGTTGGCTGTTGCTACAAATATACCCCAGCGACTTAACACTGCTTTTGTGCTCCAGGGTCACATATTTTATGCTGTTTTTGGCCCTTTATGTCTACAACAAAAACTAAGCAGAATCCAGAAGCTGGCAAGAAATTACTTTTGGCACTTTTGGCATCTGCCATCTAACCTGATGAGTAAGAAAATGTATCAATTAAAATTGAGCATTCCTGTATCTCAAACAATAGAACATGACGTTTACAATGAAATGGGTTCGATTTCCAGGCAATGCATGCATTTCTTCATAAAATACCGTTAATGCAATGCAAGACACTTTGCCAGCTGCATGAATGCAAATGTTACATTTCTGTCTGCACTTCATGAGTTCAGGAGGCCACATTATGTCATTTACAGTGCTTGACTATAGCAGCTCGCTGTATGCTTTCATTATGTGGAACAGAGCAGCATGAACGTTCAGCTAAACATCTCCGTTCACGTTCCACGTTAGAAAGAGAATCACACAGGTTTGAAACGAGCACATGGATTCTGGTTTTCGAGTGAACTATTCCTTTAAAGCATGTTTCTCTCCCACACTCGTTTCTTTCGTTCTCTCCCTCCTCTTTTTTCACACAACCCCTCCTCGTTCTGTCTCTCTCTGAATGTCGCAGTGACTGAATGTGAGCTCTGTTAAACCCTCCCTTTCTCTCGCTCTCTCTCTCTCTCTCTCTCTCCCTCCTCCTCCTTCTTAAGCGTGTAGGGTCTCGCTTTGCTCGGTGTCTCTCTCTCTCTCTCTCCTCCTCTCCTCCTCTGGCTGTGTGTGCGCTGAGAGACGAGGGGCCGGACGAGGAGGAGGAGGAGGACTCTGAGGAGGGGGGGGACATGGCAATGGGGGGATACGGAGAGAAAGACCTGTCTCTCCCTCTCTCCCTCTCATCCTCATGGCCCTCGCTCGGTCCCCAGAACCGCAGCGTCTGGTTCATTTACAGGTATCGGCTGCTCCGTTCTTTTATTGTCGCTGCGGAGAGAGAGAGAGAGAGGCAGATGGATGCTCTGAAGAGGTAGCAGACAGACTGTTGAGCAGAATCAATGTTTTCATATACAGTATATATCATCTGTATGTGTGCGTGTGTGTGTGTGTGTGTGTACAGTCTGGTCGTTTATGGTAAATCAGATCCCTCTCTCTCTTACAGTGCCGTTCTTTTATTGTCGCTGCGGAGAGAGAGAGAGAGAGGCAGATGGATGCTCTGAAGAGGTAGCAGACAGACTGTTGAGCAGAATCAATGTTTTCATATACAGTATATATCATCTGTATGTGTGCGTGTGTGTGTGTGTGTGTACAGTCTGGTCGTTTATGGTAAATCAGATCCCTCTCTCTCTTACAGTGCGTGTGTATATATGTGTCTATACGTGTGTATTTGAGTCGTGAATGTGGCTGTCATTGTACATACGGCGGCGACACGTCAGAAAACATTTTTTTGCTGTGTGTGTGTATGTTAGTGTTGTAAATGAGTTCATGTGACATGTATGTGTGTTTTTCAGTCATTGAAAGGGTATGAGTCACTATGGGTGTATGTATGTGTGTGTGTGAAACACAGTACATCATAGAAAGTTGTGATGCTGTGGGGTTGATCAAATACGGCACGAACGTTTGTGAGTCTTGCTGGCGTATCGTCATTTATGCATCACTATCTTTCCCGCTGTCATTCCTACACAGATGCGATATGTAATGCCGTTGGGAACAGCGTTTAAGTAGGAAAATGCTGCTGCCGGGTTGGATTAAAATTTGAGACGGATCAACTTCTAGAAAATGGGCAAACTTGTCATGTGAGGCATTTGTAAGGATATCATAATTGCAATAAAAGGAAAGCGTTCAGCTCAAGATAAAGGTGTTAAATTACAATCTTCTTCAGTGGCGAAAACTGAACTTACTTTGGTTTTTCTGATAATCTGAATATTAATTTGTTTGCATGTTGTAATTCTCACAAATATGGCATCAATATGTTTTCTTACATTTTTACGTTTTCTTTTGTAGTAGGTTTTGGTTTGGGTTCATTTCAAATTAGCTTTATATAAGTCGGTTAGTTAAGTAAGTATGTGTTACCACAATATAGTATAGAGATGTATTTGTGATGTGAAACAGATGAAGTGTATATGTGATCGCATCTGTGCATTTAAACAGTTGGTTGCTCCATCCGAACTATTTGCCTCACAATATTTTATTCCAACACAGATGCGATGTGTTGATGCTGTTAAAGACGGCGTTTAAGTAGGAAAATGCTGCTGTCGGGTTGGTTTAAAATTTGAGATGTATCAACTTCTAGAAATTGGGCAAACTTGTCACGTGAGGATTTTGTAATGGAAAATGTAAGAAAAAACTGTTAAAAGGGTTGGGTTTGTCATAAGTGTTTTCTAATTAGTTTTATATAAATCTGTTAATTAGCTAAGGACATCTGGGTTTGTATTTGTTTGGAGAAATTCAGATTTTGTTCATTCTAAAATTGTAAAAAAATTTATTTTGTAGTAGGGTTTTGGTTTTTAGCTTATACGTAGCTTTATGTAAGAACTAGAAGTATAAAGTACTGTATGCCGTCTGCAGTGATTCATAGATTACTTAAAAATTGCAATCTCTGATTACAAATTACATGGTGAAAATTGTAGTCAGTAATGTAATCCAGATTACTAATTTTAGGTATTGTATTCTGACTACTATTAGATTACTTTTGACCTAACTTGTTTATAGATTTGAATAGGATTATTGTTATAAATAGCAAAGGCACATAACACATACTGTATTCATTCTTTGTTACCAACATGTGAAATGTGTTAAACATTACATTACTCCAGGATTTCTCAAACTGGGGCAAATGAAAGAACTGCAGATGAGTTGATGAAAATATAATATTTAATTAAATCATAAAAATGTCAAATTAAAATGAATAATTCATAAAAAAGTAATCTGATTATAAGCATTTAAAAATGTAATATACTCCAATTAGAAGTATTACATTTATTATGTAATCCAGATTACATGTAATCCGTTACTACCCAGTTAGATTTACAATTTTCACTTAGAAATTGCTAGTAAATTTCACAAATAAGAACAAAGAAATGGCAAGTAACACTTTGAATTAAACATAACATTTTGAAGTAGAAAAATATATAATGGTTCAATAATCTTTTTGTTTACAACTTTGAGAAAAGCATTTTAAACAGAGTATAGTAATGCATATGCATGCATTTAAACGGATGTTTGCTCGATCCAAATGTATCATCATTATGCATTACAATATTTTCCCTGTCATTCAGGTACAGCTGATATGTTTGTTGTTAGATAACGTTAAACCCTGTGCTTGCCAATTCTGTGGCTCGTCAGTATTTCTGTGCTGTCTCCATGATGGATCTCCAGGATCATGGGGAACTTATCAATATGACCGTAGAAGAAAATAAGGCCTGCAGTATCACAACTGATTCAGTTCATAAAAAAGAGACTTCCTTGTTTTGTAGATTTAGTAAAATGAGAACCTTTTTAATCAACATAGGCAGAGGTAAAGCTCATTTTTGGACCCAAATTTTTGGAATACATTATATAAAGGCTGTGTACTTGTTATCAACAAATGTTCTTAAAATGCTTTTAATGGTACAGGCTTATGTTCTACTTGCATTAAGCAAACTGGCAATTTTAACGTGTCCTCAACCAAAATGGAATGTTTGAAAAACATTTTAAAATCTGAATGTCTTGCAGTTAAACTGTGTGGCAATTCTTTAGCAAGTTACTAAGTACTGGCTTTACATTGTGCCTGCCATTTGTGTTTTTTAAGCATCATACTTTGCATTGATATCGCAGTCAGAGCATATGTGCATAATAAGAGCTGAGCTGACAGAACACAATGCTAGTCCGTAACTGTCATTGTCTTTGCACTGAACTATAATTGCACACGTCTACAAACCCCCATACGCTCACCATGGTAACCATAGTGTCCGCCAAAATACCATAGTTACTACAATTGCTACTGTAAACCCAACATATACAGTATGACATTTCAGAATCATTTCTGTTTTTGAGCTTCAGCTTGTAGCTTTGTTTTGGAAAATAGTAGCTCATTTCTGATTGGTCCAAGCTAGTCATTCGTTTATGAAAGCCAGATATTAACTGGTTTACCAGTTACAGTTTTACAAAAATCTTAACCACTTTAAACTATAGCTCTTTTGCAGCTGGTCCAAGATGATTACTGGCCCAAAACGGCAAGAAATTGTCTGTCATGTTCCAAAGCAGCTAGATTTTCCAGTGGATTCAGTGCAGTGTTGTTTTATCCAATTTTTTTATGGTTGTAGCTTAACTATAAATTTTTTTATTAATTAGTTTTTATTTTTATATTTGTTTACATTTTTAAAGTATTAGTAATTTTTTCTGTTGAGTTTGTCTCCTTTTATTTTTTTTTTTAAATATGTCTGTATGGTTTTTATTTTTGTTTCAGATTTAAGTACTTTTAGTAAATTAGTACTTAAATTTACACTAAATCAAAATTAGTAATGTTTCCTTGCCAAATAACTGAATTAAAAAAAATAAATATAAATGTTTAAATTTTTTCCATTTTGATATAAAAAAATGTTTTTTTAATGATTTTAGATTTAATTAACAATAATAACCCTGATGAAGGGTGATATTCTCAAATGACAAGTAATTTCTTAATTGTGAATCTAGGTTGATAAAATAAGCTTTTTAAAATTAAATTTTTGTTGTTTGTATAATTGGGATGTTTTTTTTTGTTATAATTATTTTTTTTTTTCCATTTTCATTTGATTTTTTGTGTGTTTTTCATTATCATTATTATTATTAGTAGTAGTAATATAATAATAATAATTATAATTATTATTAAATATTTTACATCATGTTAAACTAAATGAAAAAGAGAAATGTTGCCTTGGCAACTAACTGAAATGAAATAAGTTTCTTATTTATTGATTGGTTTTTATAGTTTCAGTTAACTAAAAATATCTCTGATCCAAACTTGATCCCATCTGAAGAACTTCTGTGCATCTGCGAGTCTTTCACATGAGCTCCTCTCTTTTCTCTCTGACAGTGACTACATCATAAAAGAGAAAACTGTACTTCTGCAGAAAAAAGACAATGAAGGCTTCGGTTTTGTACTCCGAGGGGCCAAAGGTGAGTGATGGACATCACTGGTTTGATAACCGAGCGCACGCAGCATGACATAGACGGGTCACGTCTGTGAATGTGATCTGTGATCTCCAGCCCAGACTCCTGTGGAGGAGTTCAGCCCGACTCCAGCCTTCCCTGCTCTGCAGTACCTCGAGTCTGTCGACGAGGGGGGCGTCGCGTGGAGGTCCGGCCTGCGGATGGGGGACTTCCTGATCGAGGTTAGCCCAGACGTCGCCTCCTTTGATGCAACCATGACTTAGACACTTTTAATGACCCATTAAAACAAGTTTTAGATAAAGAGCCATTGAAAGTTATAGCAGACCGAATGCTGCATCGCTGCAAAAGCCAAAACTAGTTTAGCAATATAGTCTCCAGTCTGTGAGGTGTTGAACAAATCTTAACACCTACACGGAGGTGATAAACCTTACTGTGATACTTGTGTTACCTACTTTAATTTGATTCTGGAAGAGAAGATGACGTGGATCTTGTGTTCTCTGTATATGCCATCTTGACTGTGGTATTGCAAAATATATTGTTATCGATGCATCTCGAGACGCAGCGCCCTGTTAGCAGCAAACACCTTCACCTCATGGTTCCCAGCTGATTAATTTGGAGTTTGTGAATCACGTTGAATCATTTTGAATCAAGTCTGATGAGAATGCTTAAGACACCCACTTGTGTTTCTCTCTCTTTCTTTAAACTGCAAATCAGATTTCCTTTCTTATATAATTGTTGTTTAAAATCTTCATTAATCTTTCTGAAAGTCACTTGAATTGAAAATAGAGTAGAAATAGAAAATTTAGAATATATACGTTCAAAAGTTTGGGGTTGGTAAGATTTTTAAAATGTTTTTGGAATGTCTCTTTTGCTCGCCTAGGCTGCATTTATTTAATAAAAAATACAGTTAAAACAGTAAAATTGTGAAATATTATTACATTTCAAAATAACTGTTTTCTATGTGAATATATTGTAAAATGTAATTTATTCCTGTGATCAAAGCTGAATTTTCAGCATCATTACTCCAGTCTTCAGTGTCACATGATCCTTCAGAAATCATTCTGATATGCTGATTTGCTGCTCGAGAAACATTTCTGATTATTATCAATGCTGAGGGAACAGTTTTGCTGCTATATATTATTATATGTGTTTTGACACAATATGTGTGATACATTTTATAGGATTCTTTGATGAACAGAAAGTTCGAAAGAACAGCATTTGTTTGAAATAGAATCTTTTGTAACATTGTAAATGTCTTTTCTGTCACTTTTGATCAATGTAAAGCATCCTTGCTGAATAAAAGTATCTTTAAAAAAAAGTACTGACCCCAAACTTTTGAACAGTTATATGTATTACAATGTATGGTTGATGGCTGTATTTTCACAGGTGAATGGAATCAATGTAGTGAAGGTGGGTCACAGGCAGGTGGTGAACATGATTCGCCAGGGCGGGAACAGTCTGATGGTGAAGGTCGTCATGGTAGCGCGAAATCCTGAGATGGAGGAAATGCCTAAGAAGAAAGGTCAGCGAGCGTTTTGTCTGTGGGAGTATGAATGAATGGCATTGCAGGCAGTTTTTGATTTGGTTTAATAGCACTCTCTCTCCCTTTAGTTCCCCAGCAGAGCAAACGGCTGACCCCTCCGGCTATAGCGCTACGCTCCAAATCCATGACTTCAGAACTGGAGGAGATGGGTACAGTCTTACAAACACATAATATACACACATTACGCACCTTGTTAGACTATTAAGCATCTCCTGCTATCCTAAAACTCTGACATCAGGCATTCAGTTGTCATTTTGACTGATAATTTGCTTGTTTGTCTTTCTCTCTTTTTCTGCACACAGTGGAGAAAGGTGTGTCATTTTATATTATTTATATTATTTTTTATAATAATTTAAATGATAGTAATAATAGTATAAGTATTTATATTATTTTAGAATGAATCTTACAAAAATGATCCAGGATAAATTGCATATATATATATATGTGTGTGTGTGTGTTTATTCAATTTATTTAAATTTTATGAGAATTGAGCACATTTGTTGGATGTTTAGCTTTTTTTATTTTCTCCACAATGATTTTTTCATGCTATTCTCATCAGTGACTCTCATTAATAAGAATCTATGATAATACAGTTCTTATTTATTTATTTATTTATTTTTTTAACAGTATTTATATTTCACAACCATAATAAATAAATACTACTTTAAAATGTTTGTTTTTTGGGCATACAAAATTTTATAATGCAAAAACCTAACAAAAATAGGTCCTAAAACAAGTGTCATTTTCATATATAATATATCTTTCAATATATCTTTTCTATCAGGTTTTATGAAATTAACTGTTTAATCCTATACAAATATTGTGTAGAGTTTAATGCATTCTTTTAGTTGGATAATAAAACAAGGTTATTAATGTCCTTCATTAGTTTATCAGTCAGTATCAGTCTAGATTTTAAATAATAAACAACTGTATGTGGTTTGCATGTATTAGTTATGAAATTTGTTTCTTGTCAACGACAGTGAAAACATGTTCTAATGTTTGTTGGCTGTCAGTTTTTATCTTAGTTTGTTACCATGACAACTGAAAGTAGATTGCAATCTTGAGAAAAATCCTTGCTGGGTATTGACAGTGTTGAAACTGTTGCAAGGGAATCATTTGAAATAATGATAAAAAAAACCTAAACTAAATATAGTGTCCAGTTAAACATGCAATTATAAAAACGTTAATGCATATTTAATGTTACTCACTTCCTTTTACAGCTGCCTCACCATGGAAAACGAAACCAGGTGACTTTATTTATTTTGTTTTTGCATTTATGAGTATGTGAATGTCAGATTTCAAATGTATACAGGTGATGAAATGAGTATTATGACTGCCTCTATGATTATCAGATGAGAGGCATTTAAGAGCAATTGATGAAATCCCAAATGTTTCTCTTGCATGTGTGTTTGTTCCTTGTAAGCTTTTATCAGGATCATTATGGTCAGATACATATGGACAGATACTGTGTATTTGTGTGTTCATTTTTCGCATTTGTTTTTCTCTATGCTCAGATCACACAGAGAGCTCTCAAGCGCCAGAAAAAAAGAAGAGCGTCTATCAAATGGCCCTTAGTAAGAAACCCTTCCTTTGCATTTATTATTTTTCATCTCCTGCTATACATTTGTGTCTATATACACACTTTTGAATCTCACATTAAATGTAAATTATTTATATGCACATGGCTTCACCTCCAGTCTAAATAAATAGACTAAAGGCAAAAAATAGGTTTTCATGATTTATTGCATGTTCGTTTTCTCTTTTTATTCTCCAGACAAGCTGGACGAGATTCTAGCCGCTGCTCAGCAGACAATTAGCACATCAGACTCTCAGGGTCACAGAGGTCACGGGGGCAAGAAGGAGCGAAACAAGGGCTTTAACGCTAATGAGGTAACATCTCTGTTTCATTATCTCTGTTCTGATTAACATAGCGTTTCGACAGTGTCGAGGAAGCTACTTTTGAAGTCAAGTTACTCATAATTTAAACTACAGTCAGTATGATGTCTTTAGTCATTTATCATCAGCATAAACGTTAACAAGCATCTTTAAAAAAACGACAGCATGAACAGCAGCATGTAGCTAAATATTTCAGCGTAAAAAATCGGTGAAATGTTCAGAACAAAACAATTCATTTTCACACATGAGAGAGAAGTTTTGGAGAGCTTGTTTGATTATTGCATCAGCTCGCTCAGCTGTATAGATGTGTTTCTTTCTTATTTGGACCACAAAATAATTTTTTTTAAAGCATGCCCCACACGCTCGTCCTTATAATGTCAGTGGATAGCGCTCAGCATCAAACTTTAAAAAAAAGATGCAAAAGTATCACAGAATGGTCCCATGTGACACATGCCAAATATTCCAAGTGTTCAGGGGGTATACAGTTAGGGATATGCCGGTATCAAATTTTCATGTTGCGATTAATTGATAATGCTTTTAGCACGGTATACGGTATTATCACGGTATTGAAATTTAGTTGCAAAAAAAGTATTGTCATAAAACAGTATAACTGGTCAAAGACTTCAAGAAGAGACATTACTCATATTCTTTCTTGTCTGTTCCTGGACATATACAGACACAATAAAAGTATTAAAAGAATAGTTAGCCCAAAAATGAAAATTAAGTCATGATTTACTCACCCTGTGTTGTTCTTTCTTATTTGGACCACAAAATAATTTTTTTTAAAGCATGCCCCACACGCTCGTCCTTATAATGTCAGTGGATAGCGCTCAGCATCAAACTTTAAAAAAAAGATGCAAAAGTATCACAGAATGGTCCCATGTGACACATGCCAAATATTCCAAGTGTTCAGGAAAAGCATTCTTAAAATGCATTCAAAATTATGAATAATTTGTTAAAAATAATTATTCTCTGTATTTTGAAGTGACCACGATAACAATATCGTGCATATCAATTATTGTGATATATCGCATTACCGAATACATGCGATATGCATATGTCTATATGCAGTACAATGTACAAGGTTTAGTGAAAATCAAACTGAAATTTAACATATTATTTAATGAATATCCTGACCTTGACCATTGATCTCTGTGCATGACTGCACGTTGATGACTCTATTAGCACAGCAGTTCACTCCGACTTGCCCAGAAAAAGCACACGTTATGAAAAATCAGGGTTAATAAAAATGCATCATGAAAAAATTTCGCCTATAAATTCCCTCAAAATAATATCTATGTACTTTCTTCACTGAATAGAATATCTCCAAACCGGAAATCTGTTTGTCATGACAGTCAAAATGACAGTTGACAGATGACCGTGATAACTTGTTGCAACAAACACAACAGATACATTTACCTCAGAGAAGAAGGTACATTGATTGTATTTCATGTTGTATTTTTATTCATTTAGATTTTTCACTACTTGTGGGCTTCGCCCAGGCGAGTCGGAGTGAACTGACCTCATCAAGCCACTACTTTCATCCACCCATTGACGGGGAAGGTTCTAGACCCAACAAGCCCACTTGGGCTGGCGCTGGCAGCTCGTGAGCGAGCACTGAAAGACGACCGGCGAACGCGTAGAGAGGAACGCCACTTCGGTCGGCAGCTGTCTAGCACCGGAGGGTTTCCTTCTGCCGTCTCCTCTCCAAACCAAAAACCTCTTCCTCCCTTCTACATCTACCAATCACACACCTCTCTATACCTTAGTGGTGCCTCTCCAACAACAAGTGGGCCAGTCCCACAGAGTCGCCCCCAGTCCCCTTTTCGATTAAGTGGTGGTGGGACAGGGAGCTTGGAATGGAGTGAACAGAATATTGTGGATCGAGAGGAAAGAGGGGCACCAAAGGTGCGGTTTACAGATAATCAAGCCAGTCAGTACCAGTCTCACTTTCAGGACAGCGACAACAGAGTCAATCAGTACCACACTTACATGCGGGACCGAGAAAGGGAAGGGCACAAGAGGATACCGCCCAAGCCTCCTCCCCGCAGGCCTTCCTTTATAGGCAAGGAGAGTGAACTCGGCATGGCTGACAAAAATCCCACTGGTAATTCCCAGGATGACAGAGGAGGACAGAAGATGGGAGAGACTGGGATGGAAAAGGAGAAGGATGCAAAGAGAGGGCAAAATCTAGGGGTTGGAGAGGGTGGCGATGGGATGGTGCTTCCACCTCCTGCTCCATCTGTGGATGTGGACGACGAGTTTGTGTTTGCAGAGCCCCTACCTCCCCCTATACAGTTTGCAAATGGAATAGAAATAGACACCCATGGAACAACAGAATATAATCAACAACAACAACAACAGAAGGAGCTGTCAGGATCTCAGCCACGCAAGGAGCAACAGTCTCTGCAAACGCTGTCCAAACCCCCGCAAGACGCCATGTCCCTACCAGACAACATGCAAGCTGACTCACAGCAGACACCCATCCATCCTTCTGCTGTGGTGCATCCATTTTTTTCCCCACCATCTCCTCTAATCCCCCCTCCACAGCTGTGTCCCAAAATACCTCCTGCAAACCCACCCCAGTTGCAACCCTCAAGCTATTCCCAGCACCCAAACACCAGCCAACCCCAACCTTTACCCTCGCCACAAGCGGGAGACTCTGCCGCTTCTAGTCTTACATCTTACGACAGTGAGGTGGCCAATCTGACCCAGTCAGCTCTCTCCCCGTCCCTTCCTTCTCCTCAGATATTCCCTTCATCGAGTTCCCCTTCTGCCCCAAACGCCTCATCTGACCCTATGTCATTGCATCGGCCTTTCCCACTTTTCTACCCACAGCAAGGCCATGCTAACATTTCTATGTCATATTCCACTGTGGCTGCAACTGCGGCTGTAATGACTGTCACCACAACAATGCCTTTGGAAAATACATCAGTTATCGCAGGTGACCGACTTCCTCCGGCACTTAAGGGCCATGATTGGTCGGAGGCTGTGGTCGATTCTGGGATTGAGGAACTGGATAGTCACAGCTGCAGTGATCACCACATGGAAAATTTTGGAGAAAGAAGAGAACAAGAAGAAGGCAGAGAGAAGGAGAGGGGAGAAAGACGGGGAGAAAGCATGGAGAGTGGGATAGTAGGGGATGGATTCAAAGGGGACCGAAGAGTGTCCCTGGATTCGTCTCTTTCTCACCCTGATAAATTTGTTCAAAAAACACACAAAGTGCACGTGCATAAATCCAAACCTCCAAACCCGCCACTTGCAAAAACGCACACTCAGAATATGTCAAAATATCACATGCACACAGAAAATGGACGAACCGGACCGCCTCTACAGCGGCAGGCTAGCACTGCTCCCAACATGTACAGGTCAAGGGAAGAGGAAGAGCAGGAACAGGGAAGAGGAGGCGATGCTGCAGTGAAGATGCCATTTATGGATCGACGTCTGAACTCTCCTCTCTCCAACGTTAAGGCCAGCATCATAAATGAACTCGGCAGTAAACTACAACAGCTTGGTGGCTGGCAGGGTCAGGCACAACCGTCAAATCATAGGTGAGACATCTTGTGAAATCAAAAAGACACTCATGTTCTTACTGAAGAAAAAGTTTGTGAACCCTTTAAGAATTACATAATTTCTGCATTCATTATGTGGGCTAATGTACAGTTTTATTTGAACTATATAACTTTTTCCTCCAACTGTATCTCAAATGGAGTGTAGGTAAAAAAATATATATTATAAATCCAGTGTAAATAAAATAATCCAGTGATATTTTTCTTTGCATAAGGAGTCTGACAACAGCCAATACTCCACACGGAGATCTGATCTCACCATCATCCAGTCTGTCTGGAATGACATGAAGAAACAGAACAAACTGAAACAGACTCAATCCAGAAGAACTGTGGCAACGTCTCCAAGATGCTTCAAAAAACCTGCAAAACTACGTTCATGTGTACCTAGGACAAAGCTGTTAAACGCAAAGTATGGTCACACCAAATGTTGATTTGATTAGTTAATAGAAGTTAATTGATGAGTAATCTATTTATGACATTATTTTTGAAAGCATCCTCACTTTACAGCATTTTTAAAATTCTTCACAGTACTGTAGCTTTGCAGGAAAGTTTCTTGAAGCATCTTGGAGACATTGCCATCATGTGTACCTAGGACAAAGCTGTTAAACGCAAAGTATGGTCACACCAAATGTTGATTTGATTAGTTAATAGAAGTTAATTGATGAGTAATCTATTTATGACATTATTTTTGAAAGCATCCTCACTTTACAGCATTTTTTTAATTCTTCATAGTACTGTAGCTTTGCAGGAAAGTTTCTTGAAGCATCTTGGAGACATTGCCACAGTTTTTCTGGATTTAGTCTGTCTCAGTGTGTTCTGTTCCTTAATGTAATCACAGACAGACTGGATGATGATCAGATCAGATCTCTGTGTGGAGCACTGGCTGTTGTCAGACAAAAATCTCACTGGATTATTACAATTAATGTCAAAAGGAATGTTTGGAAATGTAAACTGATATTTCTTACTGACACACTACAGCAAAAGATAGGAATAAATGGTTTAAAACCATTTTTTGTTGGTGAAAATACTAGTGGCCTAAGACTTTTGCACAGTAGTGTGTGTATATACAGTACATGCATGATACCTCAAATCATAGCAACCCAAAAAGCTTAAACCTCTTAATATTCTTTAGCAGCCACATAGCAATGCCTGGCAAACACCCACAACACCTCAGCATTGTTGTGGCAAATGTTTTCACTGGCAAACACCTCTCATCTAGTTTTATTGCTATTTTTTCTGATTTAAATGGGCAGTACTGTCTGCTTTACACACTTTCATTTACTCTTCACAGGTTTCCAGGCAGTCCCTCCAGCTGTGCACCTCTCCTCCCTGCTTCTGTGCCGTCTCTCCAGCGCTCCTTCTCTCCAAACCTTCCCCCTAACTCTTTAACACCTAACTGCCATTCTGTGGCTCTGAACCCTAACCACGTACCTTCATCTCCTCTTCCTGTAACGTCTCTAACCCCAGCGTTAACCCCGACTCCATTACCTCTCACCCCGATCCCAGCTCCACCTCCTCTCAAAGACTGGACGCCGTCTAATTCTCCTATTTCTTTTCCTCATGGGATTTTGTCCCCTCCGTCGCTGCCCCATGCCCCCCTCTCTCCTCTTTCCCTGGCTCATGCACCCCTCTCTCCTCCATCGTTACCTCATCCTCCCATTTCCCCGATATCTCTCTCTCACGCACCTCTGTCTCCTTCCTCTGTCTCTCATCTGCCGCTTTCTCCATCCTATTACCCCTATCCCTTGTCTCCGAAGCATCGCTCTAAGTATCGTGGTAAAGCTTCCGAGTTTCAGTTCTCCGGACCAGAGCTACGCCATTCCGAATCTCATTCGTACTCCCAGCGTCGTCGAGCTCCCAGTCCCCTCATCTCCTGCTCAGACCACCCACAACCCGGACCTCCGCGTCCATCCTCGCTCCCTCTCTTTCCGTCTGCGCCACTCTATGGCTCACCATACGAAATACAGCCTCCTTTAACCCCCCCGTTGGGAGTCGCCCATCAATATTCAGAGCATTTTTTCCCGCATACTTCTCCTCTTTTTCCACTCCCATCACCTGTGGCTCCTCCTATCCCCGCGCTGGTCTCCAGCTCTCTCTCGCCTACCAACTTCCTGTCTGGAGGCTCCTCCCCATCTTGTATGGGCTACCCGCCCTTAACTCCTCCTCCACCCAATCAGCCTTTTGTGTCTAAGCCCCTCCCCTACTGGAGCAAATATGATGTTGCTGATTGGCTGACTTACCTGAATCTGGCAGAGCACCGGGAGCGCTTTCTCGACAATGAGATTGATGGCTCCCACTTGCCGTCTCTGACAAAAGAGGACTTCCTGGATCTGGGTGTGAGTCGGGTCGGACATCGCATGAACATTGAGCGCGCGCTTAAGAGACTTACAGACAGGTGAGATAGAAAGATAAGAAAAGGAGGGAAAATGAAGGGTAGATTTAGATAAACAAGCAAAAGAGCATCAGAAAGCATCAGAAGCTGTTTATATTAGTTTTCCTAAAAATGGTCCACCATTTCATAAAAATTTAGCTCTGCATGGATAATTCTGCCCGCAGCTTTACTCAACAATAAATAAATATCCTGCCCTTGATGTTTTTGTATGCTTTAGATGATGTTTATTAAAAGAAGTTTAGTTAAGTAAGGAAGACTTCATTTGATCACAAAACCCATTTCCTCTCTAGACTGTGACCTTCATGTCTATTCATTCTTTATTATTAACCTTTTCCACAATTTAGAGTTATAGTAAAGTATGAAAACTAAGAAATAATTCAAATCCAAACCAATCTCATGATGACACTACTAAAGGTTTTCACGGCGTCTTGTTTTTTTTTGTGCACTAAAAACTAAACTTTAATTTTAGAAATGTAAACATATGCACAAGCATTTAGATCAAAAAGTCATGAGAGGTCAAGTGGACCAAACCTTTGACTAGTAGTGTATATTATAACATAAATCGATTGAGTTATGATTTTTCATATTCCATTTAAAACCAAACAAATCATCAAATCAATTGAATTACAGCTCGTTCCTTTCATTAAACCTGGTATTTATTTGAAATTCCACAACTGACACGTACCCTATAATTACATACTGCACACTTATGCAACTTTAATTGCTTTTTGAATGCTAAATTCTTCATCATAGTCTGTAGATGATCAGTATATCCAGCACTTTGGTTTCTTACCTCATGCTCTGCCTCCTTTCTTTTTCTTTCCCCCCTTCCATGTTTTCTAGGCTCTCCTCTGCTTTCTCTGTCTCCACTGTTTCTTCTGAAGGGCAGAATGAACGCATGAGAGATGAGGCGACTCAGAGCTAGAGGAGAGAATTAGAGAGAACCAGTTAGAGGATAGAAAGAAAGAAAGATTGGGGTTAGACAAAAAGCACTTGGGATGAAAGGGAAAGACTTCCACTGAAGGACAGAGGTGGGGATGATTGCAATGGAGAAGCGCTATGAAATACTCGAACCCTCTTGCAGAGTGAAAGCTAAAGTCATCATGAGCAAATGTTTGTCGTCCCTGCTGAAGCCAGATGGCCAAACATCTTCAGCCAGTCAGAGACAGAGAGAATGTACTTCTTTCATTGTTTTTTGGGATGACGAGATCAAGAGGTGTAATGAACTTTAGTAATATGATATTATTATATTAATACAAATGAGGCTACTGTGCATATTTTAGCATCACGACGTGCAGGCTTTGATTCATCTGATAATATGATGATTAAAGTCAACATGAATCCAGAACGACCCTGTTTACTTTTTAAATAGTGCGCATTATTCCAATGAAAACAAAAAATGCTTATCAAATGTAATTTTCCTTCATTTTAATTTTTAACCGCCAGTCATATAGACACTTTCCACCATCCAATGCGATTTGCAATAGATAAAATCAAGTCCTGCCTTACATTTTTACCATTGAATGTCCTTTTTTACTCAGATATGTTGGATTATGAAAGTAAAATGGGTTGAAGACTGTTTCGTGTTGACTTTAAGCAGTAAAAAAGTAATCGTAATGCCAATAATAACCATATAAGGATCAAGTATGTAAGCATTTTAATACCGTAAGCAGAATCAGTCTTCCAACACAATGAAAGGACCCATCGTTTATATTGCTTAAGTGCGCTCTTGTTAACCTACACAAACACATACATGCACACAAACATGGACTGTGTGTGTGTGTGTGTGTGTGTGTGTTTTGTTACGGCGGTGATGGTTGTTTTATCGGAGTAAAGCATAACTCCATTTCATTTGAAAATATATTTAAGGAAATAGGAACAAAGGAAATATATATATGTATTTATGTGTGAGTGTGTGTATGGAAATGTATGCAGAATTAAAGTATATATATATATATATATATATATATATATATATATCAGATATTTCTATTGTTCTGTACAATAATTGATGAATATGATGATACATAAGCTCTGCTTAAGAGGTTTGAATAAATTATTCTCTTCTTGAATTTATTCTCATCTCTTTTTGACCATAATTGACAGAAATTATCACCATAAATAGTTAACTTTTTCATATTTTTTTACAGCTTTTACAGCCCATTTTTGCTGTATGCTTTGCTATAGGGTTAGTTCACCCAAAAATGGCTGCTCAGGCCATCCAAGAATTTGTTTCTTCATTTGCACAGAGAAATGGAGCATTCCATCACCTACTCACCAATGGATGCTTTGCAGTGAATGGGTGCCGTCAGAATGAGAGTCCAAACAGCTGATAAAAACATCACAATAATGCACACCACTCCAGTCCATCAGTTAACATCTTGTGAAGCCAAAAGCTGCATGTCCGTAAGAAACAAATCCTTGAGATCCTTTTACAAATCATTAAGAAGTTTTAACTTCAAACCGTTCCTTCTGGTCTAAAATATCTATAATAGTCTATAATCCATAATAATGCTTCCCCCAGTGGAAAAGTCCGTCTCCTGTTGTCTCTCACATCAAAATCCAGCCACATATTTGTTTAGAACTATGTTGGACAGTTTTCCCTTGTAAATGGTGCTTGATCTGTGCATATTTCTCCCCTGATTCGGACGAGACCACTTTTCTCTGGAGTAAGCAATATTATGGATAGACAACTTGCATTTTAGCCCGAAGCAATGTCTTGATGGATTTGTTTCTTACAAACATGCAGCTTTTGTCTTCTCAAGACGTTAACTGATGGACTGGCGTAATGTAAATTACTTGTGGATGATTGTGATGTCTTTATCAGCTGTTTGGACTCTCATTCTGACGGCACCCATTCACTGCAGAGCATCCATTGCTGAGACACTGATGCAATGCTACATTTCTCCAAATCTGATGAAGAAACAAACTCATCTGCATCTTGGATTGCCTGAGGATGAGCACATTTTCAGCAAATTTTCATTTTTGGGTGAACTATTCCTTTATTGCATGCTTGAACATTGTTCCATGGAGGTAACAACCATGAGGGTGAGTAAATAATGACATTTTCATTTTAGGATGAACTAGTCCTTGCATTCCCACAGGCCACGATTGACTGTGTATGATGCAGTAGAGATCACATGACACTGGCCACTGTCCTGTTGCTGAGGTGATGACCTCTGATAATAAACACTCATCAACATTCATGTTACTATACTAAGTTCAGTGCCCTTAAACACCTCATATGCTTTGATTATAGAAACTGCATTATATTAATAGTGTTTGATTTTGAACTTATGAACCTGCTCTGTGAACAGGCAGTTTTTCGCTCTGAGCTGTGACTTGCAGAGAGCTGAAATAACTCTCACATTCTACAACACACTTAAATTTCACAGCTGACAACTCATTTACACTGAGATGAGAGAGAATGTCTGTATGTCTGTGTGTGTGTTTGTGTGAGAGAAAGAGAGGGAGAAGGAAAACACACTTGCATGTACATATGCAGCTCCGCAACAGCTGACTGACTGCACACACACCGGAGCAACGTCAGACAGACATGGGAGAGAAGTGAAGGAGGGCAGAACAAGCCAAAGAACGAAAGAAAGAAGCCTTGGAGTGACAGGTCAGTTTGGCTTTTCTATCTGCTATTCAGTTTGACTTAAGTTTCTGAGTAGTTGACAAAAATGTTTTTTATAAATGTTTATATATTTAGGTATATTTTAATTTTTTTAAACCACTTTTTGCACCTCACTTACACTAAATGGTTGTGCTGTGACACAATGTCTTTTTTTAAAGTGAACTACAAATAGTTAATTTATTCTCAGTTAATATGACAATCTGCATGCATAAATTAGAAAAACAAATTTTAAAATGGTTTTAGATGCATGTCACTGTTTAACATGTCAACGACCTATATAATATAAATAGTGTTACCGTGATTTATTGGATAGTGTTGTGTGTGAATCAGTGCAGCTTTACAAACTAAGGAAATTAGCATTTAATAAGTAACTTTGGGATGTGTAGTCATGGCATTTGCACATGCAACTTTGCTATAAAACAACAAATAGCTTTGAATATTTTTTACAGTGTATATTTAGCTCACACAGAAAGCTTGAGCAATAGATCAGCGCTGAAATAGCCTCTGGAAATACTTGCATTATGTTTTTGTACTTTACTAAAAACTGATTGGTATTCACAATAGCAAAAATGCTATATTTTTAAGGCTTTGAGTTTATTTTTTATATCATTTTCTTCTGTATGTGTATACATGTTTTGGCTACACTTTATTTTAAGGTGTCCCTGTTACAGTGTAATTCTACATTTAAGTACTGAGTAATTTTAATTAACTACATATACTTACTATATGGTTAGAGTTAGGATTAGGGTTTGGCTTAGGGTTACTTGCATGTAAAATGAAGTGTTACCCATGTTTTTTTTTTCTCCTATGCAGTTTGTTCGTATTTGAGATTGTGGCTGACCAGACTGATGTTTTAAACACTTATGCATGAGTATACATTTGAGTTTGCATTTGAAAACACGATATGCATCATGGTCAGAAATTAACCAGGACTTTTGGATATATATATATATATGTGTGTGTGTGTATGCATATAAATTTGGGGGCAAAAATCAAGGCACTCTAAAATTTCTAAATATTTTATTCTTCTATTTATGGGTTTTGGTTCGGTAGTGATTTAACTGATTCACTGTAAAAAAAAAAACTAAACTAAAAGATACATCTTTGTACCCTATTTACCCATAAAAAGTAAATATTAGGACCATATATGTGTGTGTGTGTATGCATATAAATTTGGGGGCAAAAATCAAGGCACTCTAAAATTTCTAAATATTTTATTCTTCTATTTATGGGTTTTGGTTCGGTAGTGATTTAACTGATTCACTGTAAAAAAAAAAAAAACTAAACTAAAAGATACATCTTTGTACCCTATTTACCCATAAAAAGTAAATATTAGGACATATATTTAAGATATATATTAATACTTTTTAGCTTTTGTACCTTCCAGTGCAACCCCAGTTACAGTACCTTTTTTTCTGAGAGTGTTGAATGTGTTCGACACAATGGACTTTGTGTAAGAACAACATATGTTCTCATAAATAGAAAATCACTTTCAGAGGACAAATATCGGCCCTCAAAAAATGCATATCTGACTCTGTTATGTATTTTGGACAGAGAGTGTGTGTTATGAAGTGTGTGTGTAAGACGACCCACCAGCTCGTGTTTATTTGGAGTCGCTCGGCTGCTGGATGGAATTCTGGGGTGGGGGTGAATTCTATTTCTGATCCCGGATTCCAGTAGCATCACACACAGACACGCCCTTACAGTACGCTCATAAACACGAGTAAATGCAATGACATTCATTCATGATTTTAGTTTAGTTTGTGTGATTTTGCTTAGTTCCCTTAAGCATTATCACCATTAGTTTCTAGATTTCTGTCAGTGTTAATCATGTTAAATTGACAGCACATTTCAGAGATGTTTATCATCAGAACTGTCAATATCCAGTTGCAGTCTCGCATGCAATGAGTCCCTAGAGTGATTCACTCGGACAGTTGCATGCTCTGGATTACGGCCAGAAACTCACCCAAGACCATTTTATCAGCTGGACTTTTTTTAAGCAGTGCGAATGCATGCATTTAGGCTTAAGTCATGCTATGTGCAAGTCTTTAGCCTGTGCTGTATAGCAGTGACCTCACACATTTACCAGTCCATAGTTTTTTTAATTGCAGTGATTTGTGGAATAGTTTGATAACCACTTGCTCTGCAGACTCATTAGGCATTTTTATCAAGCAAGCCTCAGGATTTGTTGCTCTTGTCATTTACTAGTGTGTTCTCAAGTGTTTTTAAACCACGGCAGGTGTAATTCCTCACCATTTTAGTCTTTGTTTACCTTGTGAAAAATAAATGTGTTTAATTGTATTTAATGTGCACTTAAAATCTTAAAGTAATCATTTAAAAAAAAATGAAATGCAATTTTTATGCAGGTAATGCAATGTTAATGAAGTTAAAGGTCACTTAAGTGTACTTAAAGAGAGTATACTTTCATTAACATGCTTTTAAAAAGTTCACTTTGTAATGACAAAATAAAGTTTTACTTTAAAGTACACGTTACATCATTATATTTAAAAAAAATTGTCATGCTTTAAAGAAGTACATTTATTTTAATGTGTTGACTAACATACTGAAGCACAAGATTATTAATATCACTGATATTACGTTACTAAATTGCAACTTCATAATTACAATACATGTGAATCCATTACATACAAGCTTCAATTAAATTAAAATATATTTTAGTTTACCATAAATGCCTGTCAGTACATTCGGCAGTACACTTATGCATATTTCAAACACAATATGTTATGAAATTACATATAAAGATGCACTTATATCCTACTTAAGTGGGTCAAAAAACACAAGTTCAACTAACTGTAATACATTTTTACATGCAATTAAGTTTTTGAAAACATTAAATTGGCTTTGCACTCTTTTAAAAGATATTATTAAATTATTAAAGTGTGCTTCATTTTTCACAATGGTGTTTATCTGTGTAGTCTCTTTTTTAAGTAACACAAGTAAAATGTTGGCTATTGTTGTATGGCATGAGGCCAAACGAGGAAAGCAGCAGTAGAAAGTAGCTTGTCAGATGGAGTGTTTTCTTTTTTTAAGAGCATCTGTACTTGTTAGTGCTGTTTGCCAAGTGCAGCATCACTAATACTGTTGCTCATAGTGATTTGAAAAAACGCTTTAAAACGGCAGCATGTAATTCATCCTGCAGTATGTCAAAACCAGAAGATGGAAACATCCGGCCCGGGGAAACGCAAATGTGCAGAAGGTTCAAAAGCTTGTGAAACACTGCAGCTGAGCAGCCGTCTGTTTGCCATGAAGCCTCTCGGAGGATTGTGGGAACAAATGAGCAAACAAAACCAGATGCCCCTGAATAAATGTCACCCGACATGTTAAGACGGGTTCAGGGGGTAACAGCCAAAAAGTAGGGCAACAGCGGCTCGAGGCTCGTGCAACATGCAGAAACTGGGCCGGACTGACAACTTTGGACATCTATTGGCGTTCTGAGAAGTGCACTGCATTTATAGTCCATAACATGGAGCATGCAGATGCCTCTTCACTTACACTACATGTGATCATGTTTAACTGTCTCTTTTGCAGCCAGCTGCGACCATGGCAGACCCTCCAACAGGCCCTCCTGAGGATATCAACAAAATCAGCTTCTGGATGGTAAGAAACACGCTCTTCCAAAGCCCAGTGAGCTGCCGTTCTGTCTGCTCCCTACACTGGCAGCATCTCAGCTGAGACGGAACCTCAGAAGTGACTGATTTGGAACACACTGCTGCCAAAAAATAGCGATATAGACTCGATTCACAGGTTTCATAATTCTCAGGATATCCAGATAACAAATTAAAAGCTAATGAATAATTAATGACAAATTATACAACTACTGTAAGTATAGGTAACACTTTATATTAAGGTGTCTGTGTTACACATGTACTTACTATTATAATAATTAATTATACATATTTACATGCAAGTAACCCTAAGCCAAACCCTAACCGTATAGTAAGTACATGTAGTTAATTCATATTACACAGTACTTAAATGCATAATTACACTGTAACAAAGACACCTTAAAATAAAGTGTAACCTAAGTATATATAGATAATAGATATGCACAGATACTAGATTTCCGATAGCCGATTATTCAGAATAATATCTGCCAATGCCGATACTGATATAGTATAGTTTTCCTAACGAAAAAAAAAATCTATCCCAACTAATGCTGTAAACGATACAGAAAGCAGTCTCATTTGGTACGTAATATATTAGAGGTTGAAATGAACAACACAACTGCACATAAAGTTTCATAAAAATTGGAAGATGCTCTGAAGCAGGCATTGAAACAGGCAGTTCATATTCAGTAATAGCATTGATTTAACTGCACTGGCGCTGCCATGAGAACAAAACTTGAACTAAACCGAGCTGGATAATGACACTAACTTTGCAAAATTAACACTGTTATTGAACTGAATTAAGCATTGAATTTAGCTCAAAGACATGATTGTCTTCTGCAGAGCTGGTTTACAACTGAAATTGAATTAGTTTCACAATTGATGAATTTTACAATAATATTTTTTCGTTTATTACTGTGAAGCTGCTTTGAAACAATCTGTATTGTATAAAGCACTGTATGAAAAAAATTCAACTCGACTTGGAACCAAGCAAACATACTATACGTAGCTCATAGAAAAATAAAATCAGTTCCCTTCTGTTCTCGTCTCTTAGCCAGGAAATTACATGCGGACGGTACAGAGGACACCAGAGTCGTACCAGGCTTGTAAAGACATCATGGCATGCATGAAGGACCGGGCTCATGTGGAGCGACAGTACGCCCGTCAGCTGACCGAATGGAGCAACAAGTGGAAAGCTATCACTGAGACTCGTGAGTGTCAAAAACCTATCGTCAGCTACATTAAACAACATGGCATTGGGCTCCGCCTACAGTTCAATCTCATTGGTCCAAAATCCTGCTCCACATAGCATTAATAATAATTTGCACAATTATTATAGGTAATAATTTGCACAATTAATTATAGGTAAAATAATTTGCACAATTATTATAGGTAAAAAGGCCAAACCCACTTCTCTATTTATCTAAATTTGGTTAGTCCAGAGATTTTGGGTTATTTTGCTTCCATAACATCTAGTGAAAAAAACATCCGAAATACACAAGTCTTGATTTTATTATTGAACAGTTTTATTGATTACAGTTTTACAACTATATATATATATTTATATAATTTTACTGAGGAGTTTGCACATTTCGATTGATTTTGTAAATCATTTTTATTCCTGAAAGCATGATAGTAAAAAATTAAGTTTTTTTTCTTTCTAGTTTTTAACTGCATTTTCTGATTTATGTTAAAAAGACAAATGCAAAATTAGCTTTCTGTAGAAATATTTTACTCTAATATGCCATTAAAATGAAACAAGGTCTTTGGCTTTTTCTGGCTTTATCTAATGTTCAGATTTATGTTCTGAAAATATATGCAATTTAGTGAATATTTAATTAGACAATGCCTCACTGCGAGATCATTTGTGATTCTGTTATCATCTACCCCTTATTTTTCTCATGTGACTTTTATGCAAAGTTGCTCTTTTACATGCACCTAAAATTTGCTGGCCGTCAAGTTCAATTGTAGTTGTGCTGAGTGTAATGTAATTGAATAAAAGTGTGTGTAAGTGAGCTGATTTTTGTGTTTGTTTCTCTCAGGGCCCCTGTACGGGTCTCTCTTGCGGGCCTGGCAGTGCTTTTTCTCGTCCACCGAGCGTCTGTCTGCCCTTCACACGTCAGTCTCCCAGTCTCTGGTTTCTGAAGACGGAGAACGCATTCGCTCGTGGCAGAAGGAGACGTTCCCGCGGAAAATGTTCTGTGGATTCAGAGAGTCCCATGATCTTGCGACGGCTTTCTCTCGCGCTCAGAAGCCCTGGGAGAAACGATTAAAGAAGGTGATAGTAAGCCGTATGCTGATGGTTAATAGGTGTTAATCAACTGAACTGTTTTCACTCCTGTTGGTTCAAAATCTCATGCAGCATATTCAGGTAAGGTAAAACCACTGGTCAGTGCTGAGATTTTGCTGTAACATGTCTTCTCTCAGACTAAGGGATAGAAAACATCCAAAATACACATTTAAAGGTACAGTAAATGCTTTGTGAGAGACGCTGTTGAAAGTGGATCGGACTGAGCACCAAAACACACTTCTAGCCAATCAGCATTAAGGGGCGTGTCCACTCATGATGGGGGAGGTGCCTGTTGCATAGCATGTTTGTGAATTTGGGGGCGGGGCTAACAAGATGGGGTGTGATCCTTTTAGGTAGGAGTGTGTTTGTTTTTGTCATTTCAAATATCAAGAAATCGCTTACTGCACCTTTAAGTTTTTTTTATTACGCTATCTGTCTGCATCTGTAGATTTCAATTTACAGTGCATATATTTAAAAGATGTTTTCTTAATTTTTTTTAAAGAAATCTTTAAGTATCTATATTTTCGCTTGTAACACTTGATTTGCATCTGATTTATTATATATTATGTAACATTTTATTTCTAAAAGCATGTGGCAAATGTTTTTTTCTGCCTATTGACAGTATTTTCTGATTTATGGAGTGATACAAAATAGATCCTCCAAAATCCCTACTATAAAAACCTTTAACTCTAATATGTCAACAAAAATTTGAATTTTAGAAATAAGAATTTTGAATCCGGTTTTATACAATGTATCTGATCTGGAAATGTATGCAAATAATTCATGCATATTTAATTAGATAATCATATGTATCTAATTATATGTATATATATATATATATATATACACTGTAAAAGTTCTTTTTTGAAGTTGATTGTTAAAATATTGTAAAAAAATCTGTCTACAAATTTTTTTTGTAATTGTGAAATTTTCTAGTGGTTTCTCAGTAAAAATAGTTTCCAGATTTTTTCACTGTATACATAACATGATGTATAATATTCTAATATTTAATATTAGAATAAAAAATACATTGGAAGCTACAATGCGAAACGTAGAGAAAGAAGATGAAATACCATCTCCAGTGCATAACATTCAGTAGCATAACTAAGAGCTGAATGGAATATGAAAAGCACTACGTGACACTAATAATAAATCTTTGTGTCTCCATTAGCTGGAAACGGCTCGTGCGGCGTATCATAAGTCATGTCAGAAAGAGCAGAGCGCTCAGGAAAAAGAGAATCAAGCCAAACACAACGGTAAGCTGAGCGAGAGCAAACTATCCAAGATCCAGCAGGCCAGAGAGAAAGCCACGCAGGAGCGCAGCAAGGTCAGTCAGCGATCGGATGCCACAAACAAACACCACTTACTGCTGCGACGTAATGAATGTGCGTGTGTTTGCAGGCACGTGATCGTTATGAGAAGGCTCTAGAGGACGCCACTGGCTTCGCACCGCGATACATGGAGGAAATGGAGTCTGTGTTCGACCAATCACAGGAGGAGGAGAGGAAGAGGATCAGCTTCCTGAAGCAGGCCTTCCTGTCCATTCACAGACACCTCGACATTACCAACAACGAGAGGTTTAAAACACAAACAAGCATGTTATTTTAGCTGCCTCATAAAGGTCACATAGACCAGTAAAACGATTACACTTTATCTGACGTTAAAGCGTTCAGCACATTTTGAAGGAAAACAAACAAAATATTTGTTAGCGTTGTTGGTTTCAGCTATTTCAATTGCAGTTGATGATTTGTGTACATATATAGGGTTGTTATAGTTAAAACCGCAACCAAAAAAAAAAAAAAAGAATTAAATAAATGTTATTTTATTAAAAAGTCAATTATAGATAAACTTCTGCCATATAATTTCTTTTTTTTCTTATTTATTGTTATTGTTAAGTTTAACTTGAAGTACTAAAATACCTCAAACTAATAAATAACAATGAAAAAAAAACATAAAAAAACATAAAAAACACAAATGACAACAACAAAAGTACTAAAATTTAAATTTTATAGAAAATATAAAAATAAAATAGTTTTATCTAATTCAAAATACTACTAAAAACTAATAATATATCAATGATAATGAAATTACACTGGGTACATTTTTCTTTTTGTAGACAAAACATTTTAGATCTGAGAGTAAAATTATTTATATTTGATTATATTTCAAAATATTCCAAAATATACCAAAAACAAGTAATATTTCAGTGATAATAAATTAAAACATTCAAGTGTTTTTTTATGTCAAAATATCTTAGAGCTGAGAATCAAATTATTTATATTTGACATTTCAATTGTATAAATTGGTGTTTTCCATAAACACTGCAGAATATATTTGACAGACAGAATTTTATAAAGTTAAATAATATAAAACATTGATTGTCTCACATTGACTTCATCCACAGCCTTTTCCATTTTAGTCTCCTTTATAAAGGCAAACAGCGACATGCAAAGATGCAAGTTTGCTGGAAAAACAACTTAAGGAAATCAAGTTTGTAGTATTATAGCTGCAGTGATGTTTCCTGTCATGTGTTTCAGTATTAAAGCAGTGTACAGTGAACTGCATCACACACTCATGTCCATCAGTGAGCCCGATGATCTCCGCTGGTGGAAGAACAACCATGGGCCGGGCATGCCGACAGACTGGCCCAAACTAGAGGTGTGTGTCATCACATGCATTCAGATATTATGAGCAGAACTGTCCTTATTATCTGTCCTGATTTATTTTTGTGCCATGAACATTTGTAATTTAGTATTGCATGACTCTCTGAGTTTTAAATGAACTACACAACCCATTTGATTATATTTTCTTACTGCTATTTATTGTGTGTGTGTGTGTGTTTGTGTGTGTGTTTGTGTGTGTGTGTGTGTGTGTGTGTTTGTGTGTGT